CCCACCCAGTCCGAACCCCGTTCTGCAAGGCTCTGATGGGTACCTACCCCCACCCGGTCCGAACCTCGTTCTGCAAGATTCTGACGGGTACCTACCCCCCCTGGTCCGAACCCTGTTCTGCAAGGTTCTCAGGATGCACTTTTTGGTAGTTAATCCTGTGATTATCTGTTTTTGGAGATATGTTGGCGACTTATTATTTCTGTTCATGCGCCCATTCCGTGGGGAATATTTGATTTAACTTTTTGACTTTTCTTTTAGTCATCCGGTTTTTGCTGGGGATTCTTTGTTTTTGGCTTTTTCTGTTTAGCCATCCGGCTTTTGCCGGGGATTTCTTGTTTTTGGCTTTCTTGTTTAGCCATTCGGTTTTGCCGGGGATTTCTTGTTTTTGGCTTTTCTTGTTTAGCCATCCGGTTTTTGCCGGGGATTCTTTGTTGGTTGCCCCCTTCTTTTTTTTTTAGGCGAGAATCCACTAGGGATTTGTTGATTTTTGTCGATTTTGCCTCTTGATTAGGTTGATGCTCTACTTGAGGATATTTGTTCTTGTTAATACCTCTGAGTAGGTGGAGTGAGAGTTTTGCAGCTCACTGGGGATATCCAATTTGGACGATTAACTCCTTGTGAATTTAAATTTGTATTTTGCCTTTGCTAATAGGCTTACTCGGGGAAAAGTTTTTTCTTTTTGGTGATCCCCTGGGGATTGATTTGCCCCCTAGTGAGGAATGGAGTTTTTGACTCCTGGTTGGATGTTTGCTATTTTGAGCTGGCTTTGCCTATGCTCTTATTCCATTAGGGAATGGGTTTCTGCTTTTTCTTGCGATTGTGCTTTTTCGCGATTTTGGATTTTTGACTGCGTGTGTCTTTTCTTTCGTGCACGCAGGCTTTTATTATCTGCTGGGGGTGAAGAGGTTTTCTTTTTTTTCTCTTTTTTTCCTTTTTTAGCAGCCCTGGGGAATTTTGTCGTCCTGGGGGTATGATGGAGTCTTTAGCTCCTGGCTTTGCGAAGCTCTGAAGACGGAAAAAATTTTGTTTTCCTCTTTTTGTCTTTATGTAGACTTTCCTTGATATGATTTTCGTGTGGCCTTTCTGTAGTGGCCTCCTGTTGGGGAATGAAAGTTTTTCTTTTCCTTTCTTTTTTGTTGCCCCCTGGTGGTTATGGAGGATTTGACTCCGTATTTTCTTTGATGGACTCTTGAGTAGTCCTTATTCTCCTTTGGTGGAGATTCTAGATGATTTTGCTTGCTGACTCGTGTGGTGATGAAGCCGAGTCGTGAGATAATCTTTTTGTCTTGCCTCTGGAGTAGGCAAGGATCCTCTTGGGGATGGTTGAGCCTTTCCATTGGCTTTTTCATGTTGATGATTTCCTTCTTTTTTTTCTCGGATGGAAGGATGTTGACTAGAGCTTCTAATGATTATGTTTGATGACTCATGAAGTGATGTTGAGTCGCGACGTAATTTTTTGTTTTGCCTCTAGAATAGGCAAGGATCCGCTGGGGATCATCAAGCCTTTCCGTTGGTTTTTTTCGTTTTTTATGTACCTTCTTTTATTGGTGTAGAAGGTTGATGGTTGGAGCTAGTTTCCTTGAAGCTCCTTATTTTGTTGAAGTGATTTTGATTTCACCTGTTGCGATTTTGATTTTCATATGGAGACTCGGATTCGGCGCCTCCTGTTTTCAATCACAAGTATGGAGACTATCCTCCTTATATGCATGTTTATTATTCTTGTTTGGAGAAAATTATTTTTCTTGATTTTGACAAAGTCGTATTATGCAACTACTTTGTGTGTGGATGTCCTAAATGCAATTTATTTGTTTATTTATTTTTGATGCATTTAGAAAGTAATCGGCCTTCTCCTGTTGGCTTCTTAGGAATACACCGATGGATCCCTCCTTTATGACCATGATGATGATGGGCTCATCTTTTTATTTATCTTTTGGTTTTAGCCCTATCTTTTGCCTAGACCGCCCTTTACGGGTTTTCGATCTAGCGGGTCGCCTTAATTTTTGCCTAGAATATTTTAGGGGCTTTTGCCTTATCTTTTGCCTAGATCGTTCTTCTGGGATTTCCGATCTAGCAGCTGCCCTCGATTTTTACCTAAAAATATCCTAGCGGGCATTTGTCATTTTCTTATTATTTTTATATGCTTCCCTTTTTTAGATGCATGTTTGATCTTTGATTAAAAGTCTTTGCGTATATTTATGATTTATCAATAAAGAGGCATTTCCATAATATTTGGTCAAGAGAAAGGAAATGAAAGGGAATTTTATTGATAAATGAGCAAAAGTTTATATATTTTTTTTACAGAAGGATTTCAAGAGATATTTAGAAGAATGGGTGGTCAGGGTTGGCTGTACTATATAGGCTTGAACAGTCATGTCCATGATATCTGCCTCCCAGTTTTCCTAATTGCTTCATTTGAGATGCCTGAGCTCAGAGTGAAGACTATGCCAACTGTTTACTTCTGGAAAAATGTTACCTTAGCCGCCTTTTCGGTTTTCGACTAAAGTAACCATTGCTCTTAGTTTCTTCTTTTTTTTTTTTTTTTTACTTTTTTTTTTTTACCTCTTCTTTTTGCCTAGGACGTATCCTAGCGAGGAATATGGACCCTATCTTTTGCCCGGGAATGTCCTTTGCGGATTTTCATTCTCGACGGGTCTTGAGCAATGTCTTCAAGCATAATATTTCTTCACCGCATCGAATTGATTGGGTGTCGAAGTTCCTCTCCGTCCATACCGGTGAGGATAAGTGCCCCTCCTGAGAAAGCTCTTTTGACCACAAAGGGTCCTTCGTAATTTGCTGCCCATTTACCAATTTTATCCTTCTGGACCGGAAGCAGTTTCTTTATCACCAGATCACCTTCTTGATAAGTGTGAGGGTAGACCTTTTTATCATAAGCCTTTTTTATCTTCTTTTGATAGGCTTGTCCATGACATATAGCATTCAACCGTTTTTCGTCGATAAGGTTTAATTGGTCGTATCGATTTTGAACCCATTCGACTTCGTTAGTTTTGCTTCCATTATGATTCGCAAGGAAGGTATTTCGACCTCTATTGGCAATACGGCTTCCATTCCATATACGAGGGAGAATGGAGTAGCTCCTGTCGAGGTTCGTACAGATGTTCGATAACCATGAAGAGCAAAAGGTAACATTTCATGTCAATCCCTATAGGTTTTAACCATCTTTTGAACAATCTTCTTGATGTTTTTATTAGCTGCTTCTACTGCGCCATTCATTTTGGGCCGATAAGGAGAAGAATTATGGTGTTGAAATTTGAAATCTTGACATAATTCTTCCATCATCTTATTATTCAGATTGGACTCGTTATCGGTAATGAGACGATGCGGGACGCCATATCGACATATGATATTCTTCTTAACATCAGACGTAAACAATTTTATCATAACGAACATTTGCTAAAATAATCTTGTTCCTATATGGAACAAGTCTTATACTTTATACTTCAATTTTACATATTTATAAAACCTTACAATTTAGGAAAACAAAAAATAAGAGACATTATATATTCTTTATGTATGGAGGAAAGACTTGTTTGGACCTTCATAAAGATTTTTAGGAAAAACAATAAGAAAAAATAAGTTAAATTTCTCTCTAAGTTAAAATTTACTTTTATAAAAACTAATTTATAAAAAATCTAACACATAATTTTTTTCTATTTTTTTAAACTTGCACAATAGTTAATTTTAACTGAAAAAGTTCAATGCCTATGAAGCTAAATTGGTCTAAACACATTTAAGTCACATATTGTGCCACTCTGTTTAGTTTAACAAAAAGTTTGTTATCGTTAATAGTCTTGACTCTTGAAACTAAAAGGCGAAACCATGTATCACTGCTGCAGAGACACATAAATTGGAATTGTAGATAACCACTGAACCACTTTTGGAACAGGTTTCACTTTATGGTCAAAGAATCGGAATAAATAAGAAATACATGTTGAGACTTGAAACTCCAAAAAATGATGTGTCACTATCATGATAAGAAAAGCCAAATATCTGTAGACAGAAAACGTATCTCAGTTCATCAATTCTTGTTGCTGACAATGTACTGCTAGTCATGGCCATAAAGCTCACCACCACCAGTCACTTGCGTACAAACAAATGCCAACGTAAGTGATTGTAAACATTCAATTGTACTTACTTTTCTTCATCTAAACAGTCACTTTACTTACAAAAGGAATATGTAAACATAAAACTTTATGATCATCAAACTTCATAGGAAAATATAATCTATACACTTAACTCTTACAGAATTTTTTTTAGTTAGCTTCTTTAAAAGTTAAACGGATAAATTGATCTAGTTCATAAGAAAAACTGAACTTAAGCAGTGTCTATCTATCCTCAACTTTCTTTTTTATCAAACGAAGTAATTGCTACTACCACGTAACTAAGGCTGTGTTAAGCATTTTTCTAAGCATTCTAAAGACTGATGAAATAGTACAGAAATAACAAACGAAACCGCAATATCTGAACTTCTACCATCGAAGAATGCTCCATGAAATGTCTTCCCTCAACAATCCATCATATGGACAACAAATCCCATAAGGACACCAATGCCAGGGGATATGGAAACAAAATTACATATGAACATTAGAGATAATAATGGAAACAAAACCAGCAAAGAGCCCAAGAAACCCACAATGCACATTATGTCAAGGGAACTGCAAATTGCCACATTGTGCATTCACAGCTAGCCAAAATTTTAAGCTTCAGTTAAGCCATTCTCTAAACTTGTAAGATGGTAGTAGTACTCCATGCAAAATTTTAGGAAAATAACGAAAACACTAGAGTCAGTGGCTTCATTCTGGTTATGTACCTCAACATCCAAAAACTCTTTGCAAGGCTCCTCTATAGGAAAAAAATGTGAGCCCCCTCCCTTCCCTACCAGCTCCAACTCCTCTCGCCCAAACGAACAAAAAGAAAATGTAAATATACAGTCTTGGAGTTGACATGATATCAACATTGAACTGTTAGTGAATGAGGCTAAATCAGTCAGAGTTTTTTGAAGAGCTCGAGGACCCATACTCTTCTCCACTTGCCAAAGATGAAGGAATCCCTTGGCTGCGGTTCTCCTCACTACCATTAGCGCGAGATTTTCCAGGCCTCACTCTAATATTGTTACCCAAGGGGAAAGGCTCCTGCAGCGAGAGATTAGGTTAATGTTGCCTCGGGTATATCATATAAGCAGACAAAGAACCAGGTACCAATACCATTAGTACAATTACGTAGCAAGCATCCTATATATCCTTTTAAGGGAGATTCCAGTTTGTTAAATGTACGTACTGCACGAAACAGTAAAAACTGCAACAATAGATTGCATTTTATAGCCAATAAAATCATCAGTAGACTATTACTTCAAAAAACTCTCTTACCATACCCAATGAATGCTAACATTAAATATCTGGCAAAAAGTTTAAGTGAGAAAGCCTATAATTAACAATCATTTTACTTGCATCAAGCAACAAAATATAGTTACGTCTAAAGAAAAAGCCAACTTACTGGATCGCCAGCATTTGGGCCATCTGTATGGAAAAGAATAGGGCGGCAACGTTTATCTTCATTCATCAGGCTTGAATTCTGAAAATGAGCAATAAGAGCAGCTTTTCCTTGAATTCTGGCATATGCGAGTACTGCTACCTTTTCACTGTTGAACTTCTCCCATTTTTTCCCGTTAAAAGCCTGCACAATATTCCTTATCTATTAAATATATAATCTCTCAGAAACAAAAAGAAACAGATAAACACATATTCTTATCCCACATAAATAAATCAAATTAGGATTGCATAAGGATTTCCAAATAACCTTGTGGAATGGAATAATTTGACCAGGATCAATCATATTGATGAATGCATAGCCAACATTACATTTGTTCTGCAAACATTAGTAGAATTGACTTAGATTCACATTTATGATTGCTTCATTTAAGGGGAGAGTCAAGCAACTAGCAAGTCCAAAAAATACTTGCCTTGAAATCAATTGGCAAATACAGAAAATCATATGTTCCTCGACATTGTTCATCTATCGCAGCAAGAAGCATCTTTGATGTATACCTGCCAAAATATTTAAACAAATATAAAATAAAAAAGAGACAAACAGAAAGAGCAGTGCAAAATAAGTAGCATGCTTCAATTTCTGTAAAATTTGTTATTCAAAATTTGTTAAATCTGTTATGGAAAACCAATTGATCAATATATACATGCAAAATATCACATGCATGAAAGCAAGCAAAAGAGACACAGCATTTGTATGGTTATGCTGCACCAAAATAAAAAGGGGACAAGCCAAATAAACATGCCTGTGTAACTAATAATCACGTTCTTTGGTAAAATGACTAAGAAATGATAACAGCATAAGAAGCAAAATGCACAAAAGGATAAGAGATAATTGGCATACTTATTGGGAATATTTTTTATCATGAGTGTTGTTCGGTTGTCATCCCCACGCAATATGCGACCTAGGTCAAGTTCATATTGTTTTTTATCTGCATTGTTGTTAGTGTTTGGTTCGCTTCTCCGAGGATAGAGGTTTCTCATTCGTTCATTGGTAGAATCAAATTTAGAAACCAAATTCATTGGAAGTCTCCCAGGGAAAACGTTTGATAGCTGCTTAGGAGAGCCCTGCCCAGCAGTTGACGTCAATTCTGTACCATTTCCACTAGCATGAGAAAATATGTTGTGAGAAGCAGGAGGATGCAACTGCCAGCTACCATGAAAGCCTGGACTTCCTACAGAACCCAATCTAAAACCAGAAGCATCAGGTGACTCTCCCAGGTAAGAATGTTGTCTTTCCCAGGGCGAGGCTGTAACAACCGGAGCTGATCCTACTTGATGGTCTAAATGTGATGCTCTAAGCACATGGGGAGGTGTTCTAGGAAAACTGGGTATCTGTGGGAGACATGGAGAACAAGCACCATTAACAAAGGATGGTGTTTTCTGCCAAAGCATGGCATTTGAGGGAGGTTGCTGTTGCTGTTGCAAGTTGGAGCCATTCCACATTTGATAAAGTCCATGATTGGGGCGGTTTCCATTTCCTGAAGATCCAAAGTAAAACAAAGATTTCACATAGTTGCATTCAAATATAGAACTATTAAATCCATATTAGATATTGGTTCAGCCAACAATTTCCCAGCACCTTGTACCACTTACAAGCTGATAGAAAAACTAACTTCAAGGTCAATATTCAAGATGGACTGCTTAAATAAACTCAGGCAGGCAGGTCTAAATTTACCTAGATCAATACTTTGACTCTTGAATAACAATTATTTTTGGGTGTGTTATTAAAAGAATGAAAATATTGAAAAATCCTAGAATCACCATTAAAATTAACAGTCAAGCTTATTATTATAAGATTTTAATTCCTACCTCCTCCATTAAACTCTGCTAGGTTCCCACTTGAGTTTATTCCCTGAATGTGCCTGCTGCCAGATGATTCTGTTGACCCAGTTCCAATCTTGGCAGCCATGCTAATGGTACTTGAGACGTTGTAAGGACTGCCATTAGCTAAACTATCGCGATATTCAGGTAAAGAATGAGGATGGAACCTTGAAACAGATGCAAATTTCATTGCGTCAATAGTGTTATTGGCCTCAAAAACACCAGATACTTTTCCAGTCGATGCCCCTCTTGAGGTTTTGTGAATGTTAGAATTCATATTAAATAGTGAGTTATCAACGAAAGCAGATAGCCGTGTTGCAGAATGAAATCCCTGATTATATCCATTTTCCAAGCTGCCAGCAGATGCAATAAATCCAGATGACACTCCTGCTGTAAGTTATGTCTAGTGAGACCAAGAACGTATCAGCTTTATGAGAAAAAATAGACAAGTGAATTCCGAAAAAAAATCATACCCTTATGTCTAAAGGAAATGCTTTCACTAAGACTATGACCAAGACCAGGTTCATCTTGTCCCTTCTGAGACTGCTGCATCATACTACAAAAGCAAGGTTTCCATAATTGTCAAGCTGTAATGTTCCAAATAACTGTACTCTTTATCAACCATTAAAAATTGAGAATACTATTAAAGGTGATGAGAATAAATATGAAGATCCAGAATAAGAATTCATCCAGAAAACATTGGTTAAGATTAGCACGTTTTAAACGTAGAAAACGGTCGCAAAATTTAATATATATAGATAAGAAAATTAAATTATAAAATAAAGTGAAAATAGCCACCATGTTGCAAACTTGGGAAGGCCAGGTTCAAGCTTAATGTGCTTCCCAGCAAAGCAGATCCCATTCAATGCACAAAGAGAAGCTTCTGCAGCTCGGACATCATAAAATTCGATAAATTTGACATGATTTAATTGTGGACATTCATAGATCTGCAATTACAGAGACAGTATTTAAAAATGCTTGTATCATTGTAAAACAAACAAAAATGGATGAAAAAACAATAAGAACAACTCACATCTCTGATTTCTCCATAAAAACCAAAAATATGTTTAAGTTCATCATTCAAGACAGATGAATCAAGATCAGATATCATCAGTGTACCATGGCCAATATCTTTCTCTGGAGCATTGCCCTGATATGTCATCAAATCAAGATATATCTATAAGCATAGCATGAAAAAGACACACAAGCAATTGAACAAGTAAAACATATAAGAGTAATAATAAAAGATGACAGGACAAAAAATGGAAATATAAACTTTATCCAATGAAATAAGGGAAAAGGAATTATGCATAAAGTTAATAACATTTCTACCTTTGGAATTGAATAATGTATATCGAGTTTCCTAGATCTCAAAGACCTATTTTGAAGTGCTTGCATTGCATTTTGTGCTGCCCTTAGATCATAATAAGAAATCATTACAAACCCACGATGCTTGCAGGCAGTGTATATGGTTCGGATATCTCCATATTGCTGCCAGAATAAATAAAATAGTCCATTTACATGCCATCATTATTGGTATGAAATGCTTCACGAAAACTCTTAAGATAGCAGCCACCATAATAAATGAATAAAGGTTCACCTCAAAGAGAGCCTTAAGCTCAGAGTCTTCAACATTGCTATTGATGTTTCTAACAAAAAGTGTTCTAGAAGATTGTTCACCAAAAGGAACTTTTCCTTTAGAAACTCCAAAATAATCAGGATCTTCATCCACAAAACTGGTTCTTTTTCCAGAAATTAGATGTTCATCTCCTTCCAATTCCATGCCTCCACTGCTGCTGAACAAATCAAAATCTTCAAAATCATCATTCATTCTGGCTCGAGTACTACTTCCTAATTCGTCAGTGACTCCAGAAAACAGGTCATCTTCATCAGGAAGGAGATTTCCAATCGTGTCAGCCTCAATTTCAAGAGATTTTTGCGGTTCTTCCTCAGGACGGGAACCAATAGTAATGGGTTGATCAGACAGCACTCCATTCCCCAAAAACCTCACTGCATTAAGACATTATGCAAACAGCAACACATGAGGATATCAGCTGAACTAAAGTAAAATCACAAAATCAATAACAACTTGACAACTTCTCTTAGTTTCATATTTTGGTGGGATTTGGTGAGGGAAAGGCGCCCTACTTTGTCCTGCTTCATTACCAAAGGTAACTTGCATATATTCAGCTATGCTAAATTGCAATAGATGACAAGCAAATGAATGAAATAGAAACTCACATCTAAAGTATTAGGAAGAGTAAAAGAAATCAGAACTTGATAATTCTACAGTACACAATACATGCATGCAAACTATCTTAACATCCTTGAAACAGATTCTTACACTTTTGGCTAAACATTTCAGACAGCGAGCTTGAAAATAGACTACTTTCACTTGAGGCAGCATTGGTGACAATCTTACTCCCAATTAGACCATATGAGCTAGATGCTGGCTGCCTATGCAAATTAGACCATGACCTCTTAATATAATTAAATGATTCTGTGGAATCATTCAGCATCTCTATAGTGCCTGCTTCTCTACCAAACTGTAGGTCTTCAGTAATTTCCCCAGATAGAGTAGTCTGAGACATTGGCAACCCGGTTTTTGCACTTGTTGCACGAGGTGATGAAGTATTCAAAATACTATCAGTTGACGCTACCATTTCACTCTTCCCTGAAAATTTAAATATGGAAATTACTTCATCCAGAAACTAGTTACAAGTTCAGCGGATGAACTGCTTATTAATGGAACACAAGTAAATAAACATAAATATGGATATATATTACACTATTATTACTTGCACATTAAAAAACAGCAAATTCTTAATAATATTTATACCAAAATCATAATAAGCTTCAATCTAGCAGAGCACAGAATCCAAATTCATGATTAGAATTAATTGTCTCGCAAGACTACCGTATTTTACTTTATACATTTAATACAAGACATTAATTTATTAAAGTTTGCAGCGATTAGATTGCTACCACAAACAGAAACAAAAATATTAATTTTAGATGATGCCATGCCAGTTACTCATTAAAACTTAAAAGTGTTGGCAATGTTGATGAATGATATTCATTATACCAAAACCAATAAAATAGCTACAAATTGTTTTCAGCAGAAAGTGAGAATAGTAAGGGTTAAAGAGAACAAATCAATAATTATTATCACCAATCCCCATAAAGAGAAGTTTTGTACTAAAGATACTTGTTAGTAACATTAGCAATCATTTATTCTGAATGCAAATGAAACATTTAAAAAAAAAATTAAAACCAAAAATGAGAGAAATATTGTTTTAAAATATACAGCTGCATTTCAATTGAGACCTGAGAGATATCATATATATAATTAGGTAAACAGAAATATATTGGATAGATTCTTCAAAAAATTAACATGTTCAAACTCAATGAAAGTTAATAGGCAATTTCTAAACTGGAGCATAAAACAGTTCACTCAAGGTCAGAATCTGAACTATCTGCTAGCCAATCTATTTGCGGCATTAATTATGCAATTGACACAGGTAAATCAGCAGAACATATAAAACCGTTTTGAACAAATAATAATTAGTTGATTGGCTCACCCTGTAGAAAATGGTCATGAATAGATTTTGGCTTCCGTAATCCAATATTCTTCTGTCCAAAAGTTAAACACATGTTTAGCATCGAGGCCATGGAGAACAAGACAAATTGATAACATAATGAGAAAACTGAAGTCTTTATTTTAGCAAAAGAAATCTGAAATCTTGGGCTGTAAAATGTTCACGGAACTGACATGATGAGACGGTTACAAACTTCGGATAATAATTAACCTGAGGCATTGTGACAAAATTTATAAAAACTTGACCAGGCAGTTAGCATAATAATTACCTCAGAAGCATAGGAAATGTCATCCAAAAAGTGGGATGAGGTAGACACACCCCTCTTCTCCATTACTTCAGAAGGCATTCTGCAGCTTGTCCGGAAAATACTGAAAACTTTCTCCCTTGCTAGCTATGTTAGGTTCTATCCCAGGTCATCTGCGGGAAATTCAAGATCATTTTACTTGACAAAGGAAAAGAAATAGCAATGAACACGGCAACCCATATAAAAAATAACTGCTACTGGCAGAAACAAAAACTCAGACTCATAAAATAACTTTACCTAAATCACCACCACCCTCCGCCCCTGAAAAAAAAAAAAAGCCAAAATAAAATGGACTATTAAAAACCTACAAGAGCACCACTATGTAAAATAAATAAAAAATAAAAAAAGATTAATATAAAATTGACATAAATAATTACATCTTCAACTAAACACTGTCAGAAAGAAGAAAAGCACAACATGATATTAGGAAAAGAACAAAGCTCGCTGCTTAACTACCAACGACCTAACACAGTTTGGCCATTTGCTTGCCAAAAAAAACTTTTAAAAAATTTAAACAAAAACCATCCATGTAAATTAAAACAGAAAAATTCCCAGTTTTCCTCTTTCCACAAAAAACAAAAAAAAAAACAAAACAAAACAAAAATCAAGCTTAAATTTACGATACTCTACCATGGTTCTGCCACAAATTACACAGATATAGAGGGTATTTCAAAGAGAAAGCTTCAAACATGAACAGATCAAGAGAAAAAACCAAAAATTTAGAGAGACCAAAAACACCAGCAGATCAACATACATGAACACCGAAGGATTCTCATCTCACCATATACTCATAACAAATCACTGCCATAAAGAGAAAAACCGTTTAACCCCATAACCAAAAAAACAGAAACAAAAACACTCATGATATACAAAAATAATAATAATTTTTTTCAAGCTACAACAAACAAATTCGCACCTTCTGAATTGGAATACAACCTCGCTAGCACAAAAATTCCAAAAACCCCTCTTCCACAAAAATCACCACACTCCTCATCCAGAACAAAGAGAAACAGACAAAAAAACCGAATCTCTCGACGCTCCAGAACACAGGATTTTCAGGGAGAAGAGATCCCATGCCTTCCGCCGCAACAGGAACCTCTTCCCCTCTGCATTGTAATCTGAAACGCTAAAAAAAAGGAAAAGCGACGAATAATTACGCGCAAACGGCTCCTTGAAAAGGAGCCGCGTCAAAAATAACCCCAATTCGAAGGTACAATCGGGAGAAATTAAAGTTCCGGTAGCTCCGACGAGAAAGAGCGAATTTCCGGCGAGTAAGCTCGCCGACGGTCGCTCTCTGGTCTGGAGAGAAAAAACGGACAACGCAACAACAGAGGTGTTTTTTAGTCTTCTGACAGAGAAAGAGAAAGAAAAGGGTGTTAGTTGGCTTTGAAATGGAAAAAAAAAAAAAAAAAAAAAAAAAAAAAAAAAAACACAAGAAAAGAAAAATTAAATATAATAATTAAAATGAAAAATAAGAAATGAGGAAGGAGAATAAATAGGCGCAGAGATAGTGTGGATTGTAGTAACGACAATTTTAAAACCTTTATTTATTTATTTGTTATTTCTTTTTACAGTGAAAAACAACAAGATGTAAGGTGAAACCTCACTTTTATATCAGATGAAAGTTTGTGCATTGAACTTATCTTGGAAACTGAGGTTTGTACGACTGGTTGTTTTTATTACAGTATTTATATATTTATATATATTCTACTATAAACCATTTTTTTCTCTATTTATGAGTCATAAAATTGTATTTAGACATTAGAAATAAGTTTGTTACATTCAGATGAACTGTTGATAAAAAAAAAATGGCAAGACTGTTTCTATTTTTTTTAAACGAAACTGTTTGGTTTGTTGTGTAGAACAGTTTCTTTTATTACTGTTGTTTGAATATGAACTAATGTAATAATTTGCCTGGACGCGTATCTATGTTTTGATGTTAGATTTATTCATGTTGCTTAATCCATGCATTGGGTGATTTATTTTTCTGGTTTTAAACATGTATTTTGTTTTCTAAATGTAAAATAAATATTATTTTTTATTTATTATTTAATTTTTAAAAATCCTCCCATTCAGTTTTCTTGTTATTATTTATGTGCATCGCAAAATCCCAGGATACAGAGTGTTTTTTACATATGTGACAAAATAATGGATGTATAAATAAATGTTTAAAATAAATTATCGTATTCTCTTAAAATAATGGATTTTTGTATTCAAAAGGTAAAATTTTATCTTTGGCATGATTTTTTTTTCTCTTTTTAGTCAAACATGAAGTGTTGTTGCATTTACTCACATGTGAATTTTTAACTTTCAAAGCATGTATATAATAAATTATTTTTGAATTTGCTACGGAAAATCGCTTATTAGAAATAGAAAATTATTATGTCAAAATCATTTTTTTACTAATTAGAATTTAGTAAAATCATATTATTGGAAATTGAACATATTTATTAATTTTTAAGTAATTACTGGATACATTTACTTCATTGATGCTGCTAATATATTTTATAATAATTTAAGAAACATGCATTTAAATATTCTGAAAATTTCAGTTTATTAATTATATTTGAATTTATTGATTACAACCTTGTCTCTAAGAAAAATGATAATGAGTTACTAACTTAAAAATAACCTAATTTTTTTCCTGAATATTTATATATCAATTAAATGTCTTCTTGATTAAAATTAAAATATTAAATGTTTTTTTCTGTTTTAATTATTTTTATTTTCATTCAGAAAGTACTTTAATGTTATAATAAAAAAATGGCATATATTCCTTTTTATATTTATTAAAAATAGTATTATCCTTACACAGTGTCTTAATATCATTAAAAATATTCCATGTAAATATTCAACTATATATAGTTATATGTTAATGCAATAATCCCTTCTCATTTATTTCCCATTAACTGTAAACTTTTGTAGGGTAACACTGGTCTATCTTGCAAAATAAAATCTTGGACAATTATTTCCTTCTTAAAAAAAAAACAAAAACAATTTATTCTTTGTACTTGGTATAAAAATTTAATGCATTTAATAGGAATGATTCTAAATCATTTTGAATGAATTTCTTAATTACATGAAAAAAAATATGAAATACTTTGTAGTTCTGGAAAACATTAAATAATTTACTCCTTTTAATTAGCAATAAAAATAATATAGAAAAATGAAAGTTTACGTTTATTAAAAATATATAATAATGATTTAAAATTTAATATCAATAAAAAAATTCCATGGGAACTCTTGTAGTTAAATATTTAAAATTTCATTTCCATTAAGTTTCTCTTTTTCATCAATTAACGGTCAGTTGTAAACTTTTATAATACGTTATTTATGTAAGAATATCTAATGCAAAATTTTATTTTTAAGTTTTAATAATGTTTTTAGAAAATCTCTTGTTGGGACATAAAAATCAACAATATTCACTAGTTTTACTTTTTAATGATTAAATTTAATTTATATCTTTAATTATTGTTATTGCTTATTATTTTAACTTTTTACTCATACCTTATTTAATATTAAGGTTCTAATTTATTTTATTAGACCCTATACTATCGTATTTAAGCACTCTAATTACATGTTACTCCAATAAAAAAATTAAAAAAAGTTTAGAACTAACGTTTATGTTAAATTTCTTAAAGAAAAACTAAATTTTGTTGTTAAAACCTAGTTGCTTACACTGGTAACTCAAACTCTCATTGCTTCAATGGTTGAAAATCCAAAACAATCAGGGTTAAGCAGTTACATTGAGATGCTCTTATTTTGAGTTAAAAAAGTAATGATTACGCAATTTTATTGTGGTTTCTTATATAAATAACTTCTATAAAAATATAAAAATACATAAAAACTTCTAACAAAATCCTGAAAGACTTATCTGTTACAATAGTAATTTATAACAGTTTGAAGTTAAGAATTTCATAAGTAACTCCTGTTCAGATCCTCCAATAGAATTATTTAGTCAATTTGTAATATCTATCTAATCATAATTAAATTTTTAAAATCTTAAGGTTTCAGTGTTGTTATTATAATAAGAGGAACATTTTTTTCTTGGTGGTTTCGATTTTGCATTTAAATACGAGGCTTAAAAATACTTTATATTATGTAAATATGATTCTTTTTTATTTTATTTTTAAATATATATAATTAATTTGTAGGATTTTATGTGTTTTTAGTGTTATTTTTCAGTTATTATCATCATTTCTAGTTACTTGAGTGCTGATATGATTAATAAAATAAAAACTATTAATAAGATAATAAAAATATTTAAATTAAGATGATTAGAAGGATTATTAGGTTTCTAATTCAATTAAACATATTATTTTATATAAATAGGTAGTTATATGTAATGTTTTTAAATATATTATAAATAGTTATGTTTATTTATTGTTTTTGATGTTGCTCTTTCATGATTAGCTAATTTATTATTAACGTTTTTCTTAAAAAAAATATATATTCAATGTTGATAATTAAATTATGTTTCAATATGTTTATGAGTCTTATATTGTTTAAGAGTAAGGTTAAAGATAATTTATATACATTTTTATCTCGTTAATCGACTACGATATTTTTTAAGGACAAAATTATGACTGATTGAGTTTTAAAGTAAATAATAAATCAAATATAGTAATTGGTCTTGATGATCCTATCTAACATGAAGTCAAAATATTCTCGTTCCTAGATTAAAACATTGATATGTTTTGGTACGTTCATCAGTTTCATAAGCTTATGAGTTAAGGTCAAAAGTAATTTATATATATATTCTCAACCCATTGAAACACATTTTATAAAAAAATTTATGATAAAGTGGATAATACATAAGACATTACAATAGACCTAAGCGATAATATCTTAACGAACATAAAGGCAACATATTCTTATTCTTAGAGAGTACATTGATATTCACGGTAGGACGGAAGATATTCAATTCACTTCTACCTTTAGAACTAGATTGGGTGACTATATTTCAATATACTCATAAGTTTCACATTGTTTAGAAGTTAAGATCAAGAGTAATTTATATCCATATATTCTCTCTCAATCCACCAAACTACTTTTTAATGATAAAATTGTGATGGATTAGATTTTTAAAATGAATGTTATTATAATAGACAAAAGTTAAACACTTATTTATAGATAAAACAATTTATAATATATTAATTTTGATAGTTTTTAATAAATACTTTTTGATATATCACATACATTAACAAACCAATTCATCATTTCATTAATTATTTTTAATATATTATTCCTCCAAAAAAAAATTACCACATGGACAAAAATATTTGAATACAATATTGAAAGAACTAAAATTAGACACAGTATATGAAATTAAATTATACAAAGCCTAAATTACGAATAAATAAAATATAATTACAATCGTCAAATTATAAATTTATTGCTAAATAGTTACTTTTTATGATAATAACCTTAAAATGTATTTATCATAATTTCTTAATGTCGCCACCGTCAAAAGAGATGATCGCTGCGACGCGATGATTTATATGACTTGCATTTTTTTAAAAAGATGTTCAACGCTTTCAGATCGTCCGATAACCAGGTTGAACCTAAAAACGAGGTTTTCGAAAAGGGTTCTATGGAGTCGCCACCGATATTTTTACCGTAAATATCGAAAAAGGAAGAAAAGACGTTAGTTTTAGAAAAACCAACTTTGACTGTTACAACCAGAGTTGGGTAAGAGAGTTAATTACGTGTGGGGAAGGTGTTAGCACCCCACAACGCCCTTTCGGGTTTCCTATGATGAACTAGTTCATAAAATAAAGACTGAAAGAAACTATACTTTTACCCTACCCTATTTATTTATGTACTGACATAATTTAAATATCTATATGGTCCTAGTATCTAATGCATACAAGGAAAACAGTAAAAAAATCAGTAAAAGAGAGAGGATAAAGAAGGAACCTCTGAAGCGAGCTTTCTATTAACTCTTCAAAACTTGTGGACGTTTTTTGGCAATCCCCTCGCTCTACAAGCACGTTCCTCACTTGCAACAAAGAAAAAGATCACTCTACCGAGCGCCGGATGTCTCAAGAGGAGACCTCCTTAACCAATTTCTACCTTAACAAAAATCGGAAAGCTCACTCAAACTCTGGAATAATGCTCAGAATCACTCTCAAGTGTCAAAAGACTTCCAAGAGAGTAGTAGGAGTGCAAGATGTGTGAAATGAGGGGGGAGGGGGAAGGCTCCTATTTATAGGAATTCGCACCAAGCAAGTCGGAACGCCCGTCTGAACTTCTGATAGGCGAGACGGTCGTATGGGATATTGAGACGGTTGTCTCAAGCTCAAAGAAAGATGAGACGATTGTCTGGCCAAACGAGACTTCCGTCTCAACCTTCAGGGAAGGTGAGACGGCCGTTTGGCTAAACGGGACGGTCTTCTCGAGCCTCCTGTTAGCATTTTTCTATTTTTTCTTATTTTTTGTGTATAGAAAGTCCTCCTATCCTTACATGGAGCCTAGTGAACATGCCTAGGAGCCTAAAGAAGTCTTGTCCATCTTCAAACGGAGATTTCCTGGTATTTATTGAGAAGTCAAACAAGATTTGGGGTCTACACTTAATAATTGGTAATGTAATAATGAATTTTATTAACTACTAAATAAAATTAAACTAGCATAG